TGGATCCCACTGCCCCATGGATCCCACTGCCCCGTGGATCCACTCTCCAAGTGGATCTTGTGCTCTCTGAGCTGCTGCAAACCAAACCCTAGTGCCATGTCTGGAAAGCGCTTTCCCAGCTGAGCGATTGCTGGAGAGTTTCCCTTTAACCACGTCGTTAATCTTGCTGCTTCTCAGGGCTCCAGAGGCCATTTCTCCCTCCTGATTCTGCCTCTTTTTTTCTTCAAAATAAACACATCTCTGAGTTAAGGGCAGCGCATACCCATGGAAAAGGTCGGGCTGGCACAGGCAAGGCTGAGCATGGCCCTGGCTGCTCTCTGTGAATGGTGCTGGGGCCTCTTTTGTAGGTCCCTGCCCTACCCAGGGGGAGCATCAAAGCCTCCAGGCCCCAGCCACGGCTCTGATGAAGGCATCGACCTGGGAAGCAGCTGGGACTGGAGGGAGCTGCAGAATCCCTAGACAGCGTGGACCCATGTAGGGACTGCATGGCTGCAGAGAGGAATGAGGGGACCCTCCCCAGAAGGGAGGTTCTTCCCAGAACCTGCAGCCACGGGGCCACTCTTGCAGGGAAGGAATTGCGGGAGCAGGGCAGGGATGGGGCCACAGAGCCAGGAAGGCAGCAGGTTCCCCACTGCTGGTCCCATCCCTCTTGCAGTGTGACACTGGGCAGACGCTGCTCCAGCAGTGCTCTGACCACAACCGAGCCCAGCTCCGGCCCCGCGTTGTGTCCCGGGCCAACAGTGAGAGCTGCCAACATTTGCAGCCTCCTAAAGAATTTCTGCTCAGCAGCAAAACCCCACGGCAAGAGGCCCCCAGCCAGCAGCACAGAACGGCCACCCCAATGCCCCCACGCTGGGAACCCATTGCAAACAGTTGGAAGGTTCCATCGCACCGGGCACTGGGGTCACAATCCTTCCTGCGTGCAGGTTTTGTGCCCCACACTTTGTCACTCCCCAAAGGGAGGGCCAGAATGGTGACACTGAGAGGTGCTCGGTGCCTGTATCCTCTGCAGCACCACCACGCAGCCTCCCTTGTACAAAGCCACATGAGTGTCCTCATGTCCTCATTGTGTCACTGCTTGTCCCTTCTGGTGACAGCATGCCTGGCGGTGTGGGGAGAATGACCTGGCCCCCAGAGGTCTGTGAGCTGAAGGTCAGGGGTCCCAAAGGGACTGTGCCATATTCCTGGCCCTGGGCGCAGCCCAAATTCTCTGCTCCATGGGCAGACAGGGACTTGGGGTTGTTTACAACCAGTCCTCAAGTCCGGTGCCTCCTTTGAGCCCAGTTTGTTTGTTCAGGCCTGGATCCCAACCAAAACAAGCCTCCTTGCGCAGTTTCAGTTAAATTAGGAAAGCAAAGAAACTGGACACACACAAAAAAAATAAAGACCTAACTGCAAGCTGCCTGCAGCAGAGGGGCCATGCTGTGGGGTGGGACGAGCACCAGTTGTGCCCCTGCTCCTGGGGTGCAGCACCACTGCGTGCAGCTGCCCAATGGGCACACACAGCGCAGGCAGGCTTTGCTCAGCGTATCCCTGGGGCTCAGCATCCTCCCAGGACTCAGCACGCTCCCAGCTTTTGAGGAATTTGTGGTCTGAGTCAGCTGAGGAGAGGACAAGGGGCAGCCCTGAGCGTCCCTCGTGTGCCCACTGCTGTCCCTACGCAGTGCTCGCAGTGTCACTCAGTTCGACTGGGTGACAGCCGTGGGGACTGAGATCCCAGTATGGGGACGTGGCTCTTCCCTGATGCTCTCACAGATGTGAGGTCAGGAGGTGTCGGGTGAGACCTCAGAAAGGAAAAGCCTCTTCCTGCCTCACCCTGAGAGGCCGGGAATGGGGGAGTGCAGCAAGGGGTCCCTGGGGTGGGCTGGGTGGGTCCATGGCACAGGGTGCCCTCCTTCCTGCTTTGCCCCTGCTGTGGGCCTGGGGCTCCCAGTGCCCCCGTGGGGCCGCAAGGTCACGAGCTGTGTTTCCCATGCAGAGTCTCGCCCAGTGCCAGGAACATTCGTGAAGCCCACAAGTGGGAACACAACGAACCCTGCCCTTCGGCCCCTCACCCCGCCGCCTGCCAAAAGCCTTCCCAGCAGCTTCTCGGCAGCGCCACATCCTGACCGTGAGCAGGGAGTGCTGAGCACTGTAAGGTGCCCAGGATCACTGGCACGACACGGGCACAGGGACAAGGAGGAGACCGCGGTGTGGACGCACAGGGACACAGCACGCTGAGCAGCAGCACGCACAGAGCCCACCCACCCCCTCTGGGCAGACAGCGCTGGGTGAAGGCAGCACCGGCTCAGGCTCTGGAGATGAGATTTGGGCAGAGCGGTGCACCAAACCGCTGCTCAGAGCTCTGACAGGGGACACCCCCTCCCCATTGCCTACCTTCAGCAACCACTGCGTGCTGTTCTCCAGGATCCTCTCCAGGTGCTGCAGGCGCTGGGTAGCCCCGCGGGCAGTTTGTCCATTGCCGGACGGCGAATCCCGCTGCAGCGCGTTGACGGGACCGGGGACGGCGAGCGGGCACGGCGACGGCTCGGCCTCGGGCAGCACGAAGGTGTAGCTGCAATGCCCGTGTTGCACGCGGTGCCAACGCCGGCGGTTGCCCACGTCCAGCGCCCTACGCTGGGATGCGGCTGTGCACAGCGCTGCCAACGCCACGAAGCTGAGCGCACGCATGGCGCGGGCACGGGGGGACGCAGCCCCCCCCCCGGAGCCCCGGCACAACGCAGCTACCCCCGGGCGCAGCGCTGCGGGGCCGGCATCGCTTCCAGCTGCTCTGTGAGCCGCCTCGGGCCGCCCCGCAGCCTTTTATCGCCAGGCTGAGTCCCGCGGCAGCCCTTGAGAGGGAAGAAAAAAAAAAAAAAAATCTGTTTAAAAAAAAATATTTTTTCTTTTTTTTTTTTTTTTTTTTTCCTTTTTTTTTTTCCCTCTCCTCTGAACCCACCGCGGGGAGATCAAGTTTCACACGTCATCTTCGCCTATCTCACACACACACAGCCCGGATGCCCTCCATCCATGCGCACCCCCAGCCCCGCTGTACCCCCCAGCCCCCCGCCCTGCTCCCAGCAGCCCCAGCTCCCCCCTCCGGGGCCGCCTCCCCCCGCCCGCAGCTATTAATAACGACGGGGGAAGCGGAGCGCTGCGTTTGGCTGCTCGGCTGTGGGATGGGCCCGTGGGGACCGAGGGGAGGCAGCGGAGCAGGGACCTGGATGAGCCCCACGTAGGATTTGGGGAAGGGCTGCTGTGGGGTCGCTGGGGACGATTGGGGTTCAACTCAGTGTTTTCCCGAGCTCAGCCCCACGTTAAGGAGCTGTTGTGGTGGCCGAGCTGCGTGGAGTGGTGACACTCTGAGTGTCCCATGGGCCGCGTGGGGTCCTGGTGGCTGGCACAGAGCCTTCGCAGCCAGGCTGTGTGCAGGGCTGCTTGCAGGATGTCCTGGGATGCCTGCAGGATGTCCGTGACAGGGCTGGATGTGAGGACAGAGAGTAGCATGGGGACAGGGCTGGCCATGGGGACGAGGGTGGCCATAGGGCAGGGTGGCCATAGGGTCGGAAATGGCCATGGGGACAGAGCAGCTGTAGGGACGGGGCAGGCCATGGGCACAGAGTGGTCTTGGGAGAGTGGTGTTCCCCGGGCACAAGGATGCCCAAGAATCTCCTTGGGTTTTCTGCCAGGTTTCTTGGATCCTAACCCTAACACAGATCCTGTGTGCACCCCGCTGGCTGCTGTCCCCACGTCCCTGCTGTAGCACCTGGGGAAAGGACAGGATCCCATTGATGCAGCTTGCTGCTCATTGCTCACTGCTCACTGCTGCTGCTTCAAAATTAAATGGCGAAAACCACTGCTGTGTGCTGCGGGGACAGAAGCTGAGAGTGACCCCAGCATCCCCCCTACCCACGATTTCTATAGCAGTGCCTCACAGAAACTGTTTCCACAGTGCGGGAAAACAGAAAGGCGACGGATGCCAGAGGCTTTAATAGTTTATTTGTCCATAAGCAAACAGAGCAGTGATGCTCCCGGCTGGCTCGATGCTGACACCCAGTGCTCTCCTCCTAGAAGGGCCCCACAACCCCCATTTGTGCCTGGAGGAGGAATGGGGTGGCCAAACTCTTCAAAGAGTCACAGAAATTCCCATGGTGAGAGCAGCAGTTGGAGCAAAGCGCACTGCAAAGCTGCTGCAGCGCTTCTCCGTGTGCTTTCCATGTCCCTTGGATGGGGACAGGGATGGTGTCGCCCTGCTCGTGTCTGGAGGGGGCTGTGGGGCTGCTCCCCAGGCGCAGGGGGCTGCTGTGATGTGGAGTGCATGGGTAAAGCCCCCCTTCCCCCCCATCGTTGTGAACCCATGCATGTGCCATAGGTGCTGAGCCCTGCAGGACCCCAATGTACACAGGATCCAGTGGGGATGGGACATCTCTGGGATGGGTATCCATGGCCTGCAGCACGGTCAGACCCACACCAGCCCCATCCCACCCAGCTGCAGAGAGTGGCAGAGGGAAGAAGAGCAAAATAAGGGAGCCACCCCCTGCCCGAGCCCCGGGGCATTGCTTTGGACATTGCAAATTAGATTTTCTGAAAAGGAAATGTTTTACAGGCCATAAATTGTCTCAAAAGAAAGGGGGAGGTTGGGGTAAGGGGGTGGTGGGGGAGAAAATTGTGCAATTTTTCTGCAGCTGGAAAGCAGGGGCAGCACGGGGGGGCTGCTGCGCTAGGTGCCCGCGTCCTGCTCTGTCCTCTGCTTCTTCTGCCGCTTTTTGCCTTTGTTTCTGAGTTTGGTTTTCTCTGGAAGAGAAAAAAAAAAGGAGAAATAGAGGGGTTTCTCACTGGGGATGGGCAGCAGGGGCCCTCCTGTAGGTGGGTGACTGCTGCCATCTGGATCCTTCCTGAGGCCCATCAGTGGGATGGGGGGATGCAGGGCTGTCCCTGGAGCAGCGCTGGGTGTGTGGGCACAGGGACCAACTGCTGGACCCCAAATCCTCAGTGTCCCCAAAACCTCTAGCTTTGCACGATGGGGTCAAAGCAGTGAAATTTGCCTCTACGCAAGGAGTGAGGAGGTGAGAGCAGGTTGGTGGGACATGGATGGGACACAGGTGGGACACGGGTACATCCATGCCTCCCCAAATGCCTCTCCAGCTCCTGAGTCTGCAGGTCGGTGGGGACAATGCTGAGACCCCAAAGCAAAGCAGGACGCGGAACGAGACCTGCAGGATCCAATGGAGCAGAAAACATTTGGGAGCTGCCCAAAATCCAGGTGGATTCACCGGGCCGTGCGGGCACCCAGAGCGCGAGTGGCACAGCGGTGCATTCCAGCACTGGTGACGCTGCTTCTTTCTGAGGGCTCCATCCCTTTTCCTACTCAGCTCTGTTTTTCTGCTCTGATCTCCCAGACAATTGCCACCCACAAAGGAAAGGGCACGGCACGGATGCCAAGCGTCTGGAACGGAGCGCGGCGGGGACACAAGGCAGATTTACAGTGGCGTGGATGGTTTTGTGCCCGGGCCAAACGCCGACGCTGCTCGCTTCCAGAGGCCGGCTCAGAAGTGGTAGCACAAATCTCTCATCGCACAGCGCGGTGCTGGGATGAGGCAGTGCCTTCCTCCAGCTCTCGGCGCGTCCAGCGAACCCGCTGTCCCATAACATCTGGATCCCATAAGGCAGCAGTCAGCTGGCTGGGACAGGAGCCTGGGAGCGAGGGTGGGTGCGTAGGGACGGGGAGCAGAGGGGCTTCTCCTGCTGCTGGGGCTGCACGCAGTTGCACCGGGGGGCTTCCTTCTGTTTCAGGGAGAGACCCACAGCTGATCCCCATCAGCACCCGGCTGTGCCCCAGAGCCCATCCCTGCAGCCTCGGAGCTTGCAGCTCAGGTCACCCCATGAGATGTGGTGTATCCAAATCTATGGCCCCACAAGGGGATGGCGGTGGGGGCACCGAGCTGAGCGCACGCACCTCCAGCACTTGCATGGCACCGTGCTCCAGAGCAGAATATTCCACTGCCACCAGCCTCGAGGGGCCACAGGAAGTGCAGCCACATTTCCCCGCATCATCACCACTTGGCACCCCACAGCTGCCTTAGCAGGGCAGGATATCGACTCCACGCTGTCAGCACGAAGCGTTATTTATGACTGATGGTGCTGTGATGAAGATGCACTCCTGGCTCTGCAGCCCCAGCACACCTGGCTGCAGCTATTCCCATCTTCCTCCAGCCCTTCCCTCCTGCTGCCACCGCCTCGCAACGATGCACAGCAAACCTGCAGCTCCAATATCTGCAACGCCAGGGCCGGTGGCTCAGATCTCCTTCCAAGGCTCACAGATTGGTATCTCATGCAATCTGCCTTTCTGCCAGTTATTAAGCAGAGATTTATTAGAGCAGCTTTCAGTCCAGCTGGTTGCATCCAAAAGTGACATCAGCCACCTCCCGGTTCCCATTGCCATCCCAGTTGCCACTGGGCTGGGTGCTGGGAGAGGTGGTGAGGAGCCCCTGGATGGGGGCTGGATAAAATCAGGGAGACCACCGGGCAGGGCAGGACGATGCCTTATCCCAAGGACACATCTCAGAGCAGGATGAGGACTTGGCTGTCTCAGCTCCCCCAGGTGATGCCCTCCAGCTGTCTCTGCATTCCTGGTATTTTGCAGATGGTTGCAGGTTTTTTTGCAGACTTTTGCAGGTAATTCCCCCCTCCCCAGCAGCTCAACCCTCCCCGTTTGCAATTGCAAAGCAGAAAGCCTCAGCGCTGCCTCTCCCTCGCAGGCAGGGCAAGATGGGGCCGGTGCCAGGGGCTGCTCAGCACATGTGCTTGGGAAGGCGGCTTTCTCCAGAACTGCACGGTAATAACAGCCGCCACCGACCTCCAAATGCTTGGGAGATGAGATCCCGGCTCGCCGCTCACCGCCGGAGCCCACAGCGCTCCTTGCTTTTAGGGACCGGGGGGCTGCGCGGGGCCGGGGGGCTGCGGGGGGCATCCGGGGCTGCGCTCACCTCCCGGGCAGTGCTTTCTCAGGCGGCACCTGCGGCTCTCCAGCAGCGCGGGGCACGCAGCCCCCTCCTCCCGTGGGGAGCCCGGCACCTCGCGCACCCGCGTCTCCAGACCCCATTTGCAGCCGCAGCTCCGGCCCTCGTGAGTGCAGGCGCTCCACTCGCTCCAGGGCCCCGGCTCGCATGTTTCTGTAGGACGGGGGCGCGGGGAGGGGACGGTGACCACGCCGCGTTGGCACGGGGCGCGGGGTGCGCGGGGCGAGGGTGCCGCTTACCTTGGCACTCGCGGGTGCCGGGCTGAGCCGCGGTGCTGGGGGGGCACTGCCGGAAGCATTGGCCTTTGTGCAGGTAGAACTTCTCCTTGCATTTCATGCAGAAGTCTTTGCTGAAGCAGCTCTCGCAGCTGGGCGACCTGCACTCTGCCGGGGAGGGGGCTGTGAGCGGGAGGGCGAGCGCGGGGCCGAAAACCCCGGGGACCCATTGCAAACCCATTAGGTAAGGGAGAGGGGGAAATCCTTGCATCCCAGCCGCCACATCTCCAGCCAGTGCCCAGGACTAGACGTCCTGGGGATGCTCCGGGAAGCGGGGGGACCCCGGGGTGCCCACAGGCAGAGCAGCTCTGCTGGCTACACCACGTACTTGTGCATCTGTTGACCTCCAGACCCCGCACGCCGAAGTAGCCGGGGGGGCAGGTGTGGACGCACACCCCGTACTGGCGGATGCCGTCCCTCCAGATGAGCAGGAAGAGCCGGTGGTGGCAGGTGATGCAGCCGTTCTCCTCCGAGCACAGGACGCAGCCCGTGCAGTTCTCCAAGAGGCCGGCGCTCACTGTGGGGACAAGGATAGGGGCTGTGTGTGTGTGTGTGGATGG